AACAGTGTTGTAAATACAACTTAACCACTGATTTCTAGTCATGTCCTCTTTTGGAAGGCTAAACAAAGTAGTTTCGCTTTCACAATGAAACACAGCGTCACACATGGCAGGCTAGAGTGAGCGGAGGCCGGGGGATAAAGTGAGCAGAGGCCGGGGGCTAGAGTGAGCGGAGGCCGGCTTGAGTGAGCTGCGGCCGGTGGGCTTGAGAACGGCGCGGCGGGCGGGCTTGCGGCAACCACATGTGCACCATATGCAAAGATGAAGTCTGAGACGGTCCGCACATGTAAATAATAACAGTTCATGTGGAACAGCATTTACTGTGTACGGAGCCGCTCTGAGATGCACAGAACCTACACACATAAATAAACCACACATTAAACCCGCAGCGCAAATATTTATTTAATTGAATCACAGCCTTTGTGAATTCACAACAGCACTATGCTTTATTATGATTTTTAAATAGTTTTAATATTATACAGCCCTAATATTATTAAAACGGTCATAAAACATATAAAACTGAATAATGTGAAATTTAAATATTTTTATAAAACTCAACATTTATTAATTGAATGCCGATTATTACATTTGGTAAACTTTTTCAATTTTCTTTAATTTAGACTATAAAAAAAAGGTGACTACTTTTAAGAGCATGTCTGTTACCTCGTGCACTGCTGAGGGGTTTGAGGTAGAGGGCCAGCTCCTCAACACACTGCCGTGCCTCATCATAATGCTTGGTGTCCTCTGGACATGTAGTGAACACCACAGGTTGCTGTTTGGGCACCTGAGAAAAAAGACAACTTAAATGAAGCACACAGTGATCTGAAAAACTGTGGTTATGCTTAGGGCTGCGCTGGTGAGTGAGACAACCGCACCACCGCAGTGGCAGGATACCACTGGCGATGGTATGCAATAAATAAATAATAATAGCGGTTGCACACAAGTTAAGTACAAAGCTCTGTTTACAAAAGAAATAACAGTTTAGCAACTTAATATTGCGAAGTTAGAAACATCTGGATTTGTGCTGACTGAGGGGTACATGAGCCCATACATTTGGATTAAGCCATGTCGTCTTTGTATTCTGTCTTACAATCTAGTCACCGGACTTCCCACGAATGGGAAATCGGACTACACATGGAATCACTCGTTTCTCTTCCCAAATAGTCGCTCACATCTCACTCTCTTTTTTTGCAGGCGATTTATAATGGCAAAGCAACATCACACATAAATGTCTTAATTGTGTGGAAGATCGCTTTTTCAAACTTTTATCAGTTGCTTTGGAGTATCTGGAAAAATATGAAGGCACTAAAGACACTGCTTGTTTTCCCCAGCAAAATGCAGACCAGGTATATACTAGGGCTGGGTAAAAAATATCGATATCTCGATATTAATCGATTCTCATTTTTATGGAACGATATTGATTCTTAAATCCCAAGAATCGATTAGTCTAGCCTGTTTTCAGTTAATGGATGGACCGTTGAAGGGCACCTCCCATCCAATATATCGCAATAAGCATTGTGCTTTGGTACTTTTAATATGAAACAAAGTTTCAGATTTCAAATTCTGTCCATTGTATTGCAGTATTCAAACAATAAATGCCGTTTTAGCGCAGTTTAATGTGGAGTGACAGATCGCTGTAGCAGCAGATGCAGCACGTGAACTGATCATCTCCTCCACATTAATACCAGTTTCAGCACTGTGATCGGGTGTGTCATTTAACAAAAAGGGAATAATAGATGGAAAAAAAATGAAAGATTCCACTGGAATCAAAAAATCTTCTGAACACAGGAGTTCTTAAGTTCACACGTCCCGGGTGATCATCACATGGTGTGAAACCTGAAACCTGGAACAAAAGATGCAGTTGATGATTAATCTGACAAATATGGAAAATAGAAAATAGTATATCTTATCTTTAGTGGTGGGTTCACATGATGCACATTATTAATCAACACGATTACACCGTAAAACACAGGAACCAACTGGCGTAGTGTAGATCAACCACGTCTGGCAGCTGTTGCTACCCAAACAAACAAGAAAACTAACAAAAACACTACAGTTTAAACATTTATTATAAGAATAAATTGATTAAAACCTATTGAGGCAGGAGCATTACTTAATTTCTGAAAAGCATTGAGTTGAGCTGAGCTGATCAGCAAGGCAAGACACTACAGGCAAAACCACTGTTTTTCCATGCACGGGTCAATTTTGAGATTTTGGCTATTCTTCTTCCATAAGATGTCATCTTTCAGAATAATGGAAAGAAAACTTTCAAATACAATAAATATCATTAAAGGACATTCTCTCAAAAATATTTTTTTTCTTCTCATTTACTAAGCCTTTTTTTCACTTAGTTTATTCCTGAAAAAATTTTTTTTTTTTTTTTCTGGCTGTTGACAGTATTTTCTGATTTATGGAGTGATAAAAAAAGATTAAAAATCTTCTCTGTAAAATCCTTTAACTGTCAACAAAATGAAAAGAATTTTGAACCACACTTCATCCAATAGTAATGTATGCTAATTAGTGCATATTCAATTAGATAATAGTTAATTAGCATATTTAAACAACCTTTCAGAAAGCTTGTAATATAAAACAGCTGTCTGTGGGAAAAGTACGGTGATATTTATTAGTTAATTACTCTAGTTACCTGTGGTGTTTTGCCTCAAGTAAACAGGCTACGTTACCCACAGCTAACTCGTCTGTCAATAAACTCAACTTCATATAGTTCAAGCCATTCTGAATGAATAAGCATTGCATAACCTCATATGTGCATGTTTGATGGCAACATGTTAAAATTAACACCATTTACCTGACGAAAATAAACCAAAACTGGTAAAAATGTATTCTGTTCTCCACAGTCCATCTCCATTAGCTATCGAGCTAACACAATGCTCACTGGCTCCTGTCTCTATCTTTACTGAATACGCTAATTGCAAACACAGTCTTCATTTCTTACAATGATTGTGAGTATAGACAATGAGTTAAACAGACTCCAAAAGGTGTTTGTTGCACATTTTCTAGTGTGTGAGATGAAATGAGCGTAAAGCACAGGATAACGGCGAAATATGCAATCTTACGAATATCGGTTTAGGCTAAACCACAAGAGATCCCGCGATTACGTAAAACGGCAACCGCTGAACCTGACCAAACACTCATTTATTATCCACCCACTGTCAAAACAATGTAGCGGAAACATGACATGTGGTAAGAATAGATGCAAATCCAGAATCACGTGGATTACTGTAAATAGCTATATTTGTAAGCGAAGGCCCGTGTAAACACAGCATTCAGTTCGGCTACCTCAGCTAATAAGCTACACTGGCTAACTTACCCAATTGCTATTTCAATCGAATACACGGCTGAAATCCAAATTACTGACAAAGAAAACGCCAAAAACTGCACATGGCACGAACTAACCACCAATTAAGCCCCAAACCTGACTGAAAACACGAAAAACAGCTCAAGCCAACGCTACACAAGGCTAGTCGGGCGGCTAAATGCTGCAAACGTGCTATCAGATTAGCAGTTAGCAGCAGTGTGCGGTCCACACCCAGAAACGAACACATATTGCACGCAAAAATGCGCTATTCTGCAAACCACAAGCGCAAAATAACAAATGCACACTCATTCTTACTGTTTCTCGGCTATCTTCATCTTTTCTTAAGAAAATGCTTGATTATTTCCTCGGTCGCCATGTCGACCGTTACAACGGGTTGCCGAAGTAGTTCGGGAATACAACCGGCAGCGCTCGAGTTAATCGAGGAAGAGAAGCAACGGTTGAGTACCGAGGCTGAAAACACGAAAAACAGCTCAAGCCAAAGCTACACAAGGCTAGTCGGGCGGCTAAATGCTGCAAACGTGCTATCAGATTAGCAGTTAGCAGCATTGTGCGGTCCACACCCAGAAACAAACACATATTGCACGCAAAAATGCGCTATTCTGCAAACCACAAGCGCAAAATAACAAATACACACTCATTCTTACTGTTTCTCGGCTATCTTCATCTTTTCTTAAGAAAATGCTTGATTATTTCCTCGGTCGCCATGTCGACCGTTACAACGGGTTGCCGAAGTAGTTCGGGAATACAACCGGCAGCGCTCGAGTTAATCGAGGAAGAGAAGCAACGGTTGAGTACCGAGGCGCCGCCTCTGGCAGCGCTACATTATGGCTCATGTTGAAAACATGCAGCAATGGAATTATCTCTCTCTCTTTCTTAAACATGAAAGTCACAAAAAGTAAAAAAAGGTCATAATTAGGCCTATGAGATGAAAAATCACTATTATGACAGATTAAATTACAAGATTTAGTCATATTTATGAGATGGAAAGTATAAATTATGACATAAAAAGTATCTTTAAAAAGCAAACTATAAGATAGCCTAAGTGAAACACAGAAACATAGTTCTAACCATTTTTGTGAATTATTAATATTAATTGTTAATATTAATATTGGATTTTTAAATATTTGGAAAATAATTTTTTTCACTTTTATGTTTAATTTACATTACAAATTACATTATCAAAATGTAAAATAAAATCAAAATAAATTGTCTAAAATGTTCTGTGCTTTTAAGCATTTAAAGGCACAATATGTAATTTTCGCCGCTAGAGGGCGCGTTTTCAAAATAAACAAAGAGACAAAGGCGTAGTTTGATGACGCCGTGACTGAGTGTGGAATCATGGGAGTTGTCGTCTTCATCCCCACAGCTGATGCAATCTGAGAGGACTCGGGCAGAAATCATGTTCATGGATGAGCTAATGATTTATTAACGTAGTAGAATGAAGCAGGGTGAGGCTGAAAGCCGTCGAAGCGAAACGAGGCCGCTGAACGAGCACAACACACGGCTCGAAAGCAGCGGAGCTTTTATTATGCCACAGTCGACCGCTTCGACTCCTTCCGGTCGTGCGTATGTGAGGGGAAAAAAAGCAGTGCTGTTTTATCATACTAGATACATTTGAAAGTTCTGTTATAATGCTACTCTGTGCGGTCGTCACCGGTCTATTAAAACACACAACATTAAAGCGTCTTTGGTGTTTCCATGTTTTCTACAAAACAAAACCGGTTATGACGTCATTGGCAGGCGACACAATGACACTATAGACACGGTCCGTGTCACTAGTTAAAATTGCTTATTTCTCTGGAACATTCTTCGAAACATTTGGGATAATGTAAGTACACAAGTCAGCAAAATATATAACACTGTTCTAGTGGTTTTTGGATATTTTAATAAAAAAATCGTACATATTGTGCCTTTAAGCAGTAAAGCTGAGTGTATAGGACTTGATAGCACAATCCCTTAGAATAATCGGCACTTTGTTGACATCTTGAGTGGGGAGTAGGGGTAATCACTTCATTGGGGTCATCAGGTGGGCCTTCTTCCTTGGTGTTTCGTTGATAGGCCCATGACACCTCCAAAGGGCTCAACAGCGACACCTAGTATCCCAGGTGCACTCCCCTCTGCTTTTACCCCTCTAGGTCATTTTGCAGCCCATTTGGTATCCTTCCTTTTTAGCCATAGCCAGTTGCTGCTTCGCTCAGCAGCCTCTGACAGCAACCTAACTGCTTGTCGTAAAGGCCTGTCCTCTGACTCCCATCCCCTTCAGTAGCCTGGTTGTTACCGTGGCTGCAAAACCTCTGCACCCAACCTCTACGGGGAGCAACTGGGTTCGCCAGCCCCGTTGTACTGCTTCGGCTATTAGGTCTGAGTACTTCAGCCTTTTACGTTCATTTGCTTCACCAATTGTAGCCTCCCATGGCACAGTTAGTTCCATGATGAACAAGGACTTTTGTGAGATTTACCACAGTATCAAGTCTGGCCTGAGGTTAGTTGTAATTATCTCAGGTGGAAAGCTGAGCTTCTGGTCCAGATCAACCTGCATTTTCCAGTCCTGGGCAGTGTCCAGCAGTGTTGTTTTTATTTTTGTAGTTTGCTTTACTGGGAGCTGTCCTGCTCTTACGAAGGCGATGGCTTTTGAGAATCCAGTCGTTGGAGGAGGGAGGGCATTGGTGGTGATTCTCCTTCCTTCCAGGATAATCGCCAGTTGTCTTAGAACCTG